CCCAATAGTTCTATTTTTGGAGGACTTTCAATTGATGAGTAAACTGCTTTGGGGATATTTTAGAACTTCTTTCCCCAAATGAAGCCTAGTCTGGACAAATTATATATTGCATAGATTTCTCTGGAGATTCTTTTCTTTAGAACCTAAATGTAATTACCATAAGGATAATTTTTACCTATTTGCCCCATAGTAAAAACTATCTGTCCTAAAATATACGATGGATATATCCTCTGAACTTCCAGTTAATTGTTTTACCTCAACAATTTTTATGTTCCAAAATAACCAACTCAACATGGGACATTACTTGAGTCTTTACTGACTCACAGGCATGTGAACTAGTGCCCAGCTTCTACATCCTCCTCTTCCTTAAATGGATGGAATTACTTAATACAAGTTTGATGTAGGACAATTAACCCTTTCCAAACAAGTCTGATGTACGACAAACCTTTTCAAACATACAGTTTAGGTAAAGTCATTGTCTACTGTGGAAAAAGAAACTATAACGATAGGGAGCCTACATACTCAATTCAAAATTTCATTTTTCCCCCTCTTAAATAACATGTACTTAATTGTCATTAGGCAGCTATTCAGTTTTCAATAACCACATTTAGGGATACATTCATAGGACTGATTAGATAGTCCTGGTGAAATGGTTATAGAAATAGAGGCAGTGTCATCTCAGAAAACTCATTTATAGGCTCAGGTCATGATCCTGGAGTCCCAGGATCGAGTCCCACATTGGGCTCCCTGCTTGGCAGGGAGTCTGCTTCTCCCTCTGACCCTCTTCCCTCTCGTGCTCTCTATCTCTTTCATTCTCTCTCTCTCAAATAAATAAATAAATCTTTAAAAAAATCTATTCTGATGTCTGGAAGCTTACAAAAAGGCTGAATTCTTCAAACTAAGTATGCCTTCTGTAACTCAAGCACTCTTCTCTTGGCAAGAGCAAGCTGAAGCTTATCCATGAAGGTAAAGGTACGTAATGCTAACTTTTTTTCTAAGCTTATATTTGGACTGCTGAAGAAACTGATACCCAAGAAACCAGCATGGTCTTTCTACATTTTTACTATCTTAAGATTCAAATCCTATAAACTCATTCAACTATCTTCCTTTTCCTGTATTACTCTTGGCACTCAATTAAGACTGCTGAAGTCTATTGTACTTTGTACTTTCACATTCTCAAAAAAGATTAAAAAATGTGCATAAACAATGTGTAAAATAATTTTGTCGTTTAACATATTTGGAGAGATGAGATTTCTATTACTAGAATTTACATGAGGATAATTATTATGAACCAAACTTCCTTTTAAAGTCAAATGACAAGAAAATTCAAGCCCCATGCATTGTTTTAAAGTCTAATGAGAACACTTCATGGGCCACTAGTATTGGCAATCTAGAAAATTTTAAATATTGGATAAGGGGCTATGGAGGAAAACATGAAAATTTCAGATGTCTCCTATCTTACAAAAAGTTATCAACCCGCCCAAGCCACTCCCTATGTGCCAGAAAATAATCTGGCATAAACCAGTCCCATCAGCAGAGGAGATCACAGTGACATTTATGTTATTAACACTTCAGAACTTCTACTTTTCCAAGTATGGAAGCAATTACATGGCTTTATATTGCACATGTCTTCATAAACATACATAGGATAAAAGACATTAACCTATTAGTTAGGGAATGGAGAAATAAATCATGACGTAATAATACAGTAGATTACTCTCTGGTAATTAAAATTAAGTGGAATTAAATATATTAACAATAAAGAAAAGACAAATCACATAAGAATTCCAAATGTAAGTGACATGTCCTATATGGTTCTTTTTATATAAGGCCTTTAAAATTGAAAATAATGTAGTTGTGGGGCATCTGGGTGGCTCAGTCAGTTAAGCATCTGCCTTTGGCTCAGGTCATGATCCCAGGGTCCTGGGATCGAGCCCCGCATCAGGCTCCCTGCTTGGTGTGGAGCCTGCTTCTCCCTCTCCCACTTCCCCTGCTGTGCTTTCTCTCTCTCTCTCTCTCTCTCTCTCTGTGTCAAATAAATAAATAAAATCCTTTAAAAAAAAGAAAATAATATAGTTGTTTATGTCATTATATTAACAATAATATTAATTATAGTAAAAATTGCTGGGGAATAATGTGTAGTGATTCCTCTGGGGAAAGAAAAGAATCAAGATTTTTCAAATACATGATGTGTATATCTGTATTATTTACTACAATAAAAACACTGAGAATGAAGGACCCCTGGCTGGCTCAGTAGGTGGAGCCTGTGACTTTTGATCTGAGGGTCTTGAGTTCAAGCCCCACCTGGGGTGTAGAGATTACTTAAATAAATAAAACTTAAAAAATATATTTTTAAAAAACCCATTTAGAATGAAGATGGTGACGTGTGTGAATTTTATGCTCTTGATTTATCTCTATGGGTTTTTTTGTTGTTGTTGTTTTTGCTTGAATAATCCATAAAAATAAAAGTCTGTTATGTTTATTATTATTATGGATTATTCCTTGTAATGGTTCAAAATATACTTAAGATTTTCTAATAATGTATATTTTATGTCATTCAAAAATATTTCCCTTATAGCTTTTCATTATTTATACTTATTTGTACATCTAATACATTTTTATGTAATTTATTTTAATTGCCACATATTTTTAAAGCTTTTATTCATGAGAGAGAGAGCACACACACATGCACAAGCAAGGGCAGGGGCAGAGGCAAAGGGAGAGGGAGAAGCAGGCTCCCCACCAAGCAAGGAGCCTGACATTGGGCTCCATCCTGGACCCTGGAATCCAGACCTGAGCTGAAGGCAGATGTTAAACAGACTGAGCCACCCAGGTGACCCTCATTGCTATATTTTTCATCATATGTCTTTTTCTTTTTTTTTAAGATTTTATTTATGTATTTGAGGGGGGGTGGGGAGCATGAGTAGGGGGGAGGGGCAGAAGGAGAGGGACAAGCAGACTCCTGGCTGAACTTGGAGCCTGGTGGAAAGGCTTGATCCTAGGACCCTGAGATCATGACCTGAGCCAAAGTCAGACATTTAACCAACTGAGCCATCCAAGCACTCCCACCATATATCCATTTCATTTTATTTTTCTCTTTTTTTAATTTTTAATTTAATTTTATTTAAATTCCATTAATTAACATATAGTGTATTATTAGTTTCAGAGGTAGAATTCAGTGATTCATCAGTTGCATATAATACGCAGTGCTCATTATGTCACATGCCCTCCTTAATGCCTATCACCCACTTACCCCATCCCCCCGCTGTCTCCATTTCAAATGAATATTGATACCATTGATGAGTCCTTCATTCTTTTTCTACATGATAAAAGTTCCCAGCTCATAATCTTTTCCCTGAAATTTGCAGTTACCATGCAAGGGGTATTCTTTCTTTTTATTGTCTTTCCTCAACTTACCCCATCCCACTGCTTCCTTGTAAGGAGTGAAATGTACAAGGTGCATTTCATGGCAGGACAAAAACACACATACACAATAAGAAATGTCAGTACAAGGGTCCTATATACTGAGTAAGTGCCAGATGATTTTCCTCTATTCATTTCCCATCATTGCAACATCTCCATGAGGTTTTATGATAGTCCCCATTATACAAATGAGGACACCAAGCTTTTCATAAGTGAACAATTCCACCCCCTCTCCCCAACACACAAATCAAGTACTGGTCTGGACTAAATTCAGGATTTAAGCTTAAGTAATACACCAAATGATAAAGGCTGTCATGGCTACTTCTGTCTCCTTCAGGCAAGGAAGGACCACTGCTTTACAGAAGTACTACTGTTAAAGATGCCTGACTATCTTATAATTATAAGTCCGACTTACCTTATAATTCTCTGTCTCCCAAGGGACCGAAAATTGTTGCTATTTTCACCTATTTTTTTAGAAGACTATGTTTCCTCTCTCTCTCATTTAGCTGGGTTTTTTCTTTTTTAATGATGTTCCTGCTACCTATCACCTAGGGAAGAAGTCTCCTTAGGATAAGATAGAGAATGTCATTGACATTTGCCCAGCTTCTCTTAGAATTAATTGCTAATGCTGGTGAGTAGTGTTTCCATGGGGGAGTCTTATGATCTTCAAGTTTATATGCAACATTTTCAAATCTTTGCTCAGGTACAGATCATATGTTTGGATGGATGTCATGCACCTGCTACACGGTACTTCATGGGTAGTGATGGACGTATGCTGTAGACAAGGGAAAAGATTTGGGGCATTGTTCAAGATGAATACATTAAGATTTTAAAGGAAGTTTTATGAAATCTGAGTGTTGGTTTAAGAATGCTAATTCTGTATTATCCAGAGGCATTAACAATGATTTGTCTAGACAATCAACTCAGCAGTGAAACCATTTGAGTTCACACTTTGTCTTTTCCAGGCACTGCATGTTTCACCCCACCTAAGTTTCCCTACAGATAAGTGGACAGTATGATATAACTCATCTGTAATTTGACAAGCCCTTCATCTGATTCTGAGGCACACCAAGGGTTGGGCACCATACTCTGCTACAGAGATTGGATAACTTCATTCTCGTCTGTTTGTTTGAGACAAGGAATATTTCTGAAAGAAATGCCATGGTTTATTCTTTGTCTCAGTCTCAGCACTTGGCACAATGTGTGAAAAAGATCAATAAAAATTTGAGCCAAAAATTTGAGTGGAGGAAAGAAAAGTAAGAGGTGATGGTGATGGAGGAAGAAATTAGCAGAGAGAAAGATTTGAATATTCTTTCGGCTTCACCATATACATAAGTTTTATTTATTTTTACTTAAGCACTGGCTCTCAAACTTTACCATAGATCAGATTTATCTGGAGGGTTTGTTAAAACTTAGATTGCTGGTCCTTACCTCAGAGTTTTTCAGCAGTGTATCTGGAGCAGTACCAAGAATTTGCATTTCTAAGTAGTTTCCAGGTGATGTTGCTTTTGCTCAACCAGAGACCATTCATTTTATTTTATTTTTACCCCATCTTTTCCATTAGATTCATCAACAACATGGAACCCAGAAATCACACAGATGTTTCAGAATTTCTTCTGCTAGGATTGACAGATGATTCAGAACTGCAGCCCTTCCTATTCTGTCTGTTCCTGTCCATGTACCTGGTCACTATCCTGGGAAATCTGCTCATCATCCTGGCCATCAGTTCTGACTCCCACCTCCACACCCCCATGTACTTCTTCCTCTCCAACCTGTCCTTTACTGACATCTGTTTAAGCACAACCACCATCCCAAAGATGCTGGTGAACATCCAAGCACAGAACCAGAGTATCACTTATACAGGCTGCCTCACCCAGGTTGGATTTGTCCTGGCTTTTGGTGGCTTTGAAAATTTTCTCCTTGCAGCAATGGCCTATGACCGCTATGTGGCCATTTGTCACCCCTTGAGGTACACTGTTATCATGAACCCCCAACTCTGTGTTCCGCTGATTCTACTCTCACTGTTCTTTAGCCTTGTGGTTGCCTTGCTCCATAGTCTAATGGTGCTACGGTTATCCTTCTGCAAGGAAGAAATGGAAATCCCCCATTTCTCCTGTGAACTTGCTCAGGTCATCAAGCTTTCCTGTTCTGATACCCTCATCAATAACATCTTGATTTATTTTGTGGCTAGCCTATTTGGTGGTATTCCTCTCTCTGGGACCATTTTCTCTTATACTCAAATTGTCTCCTCTGTTTTGAGAATGCCATCAGTGGGAAGAAAGCTCAAAGCTTTTTCCACCTGTGGGTCTCACCTGTCAGTTGTGTCCTTGTTCTATGGGACAGTTGTTGGAGTATACATTGGTTCTGTAGTTACTGACTCTTCCAAGAAGACTGCAGTGGCTTCAGTGATGTATGTCATGGTTCCTCAAATGATGAACCCCTTTATCTACAGCCTGCGGAACAGGGACATGAAGGGAGCCTTGAGAAAACTCATCAGTGAGATGCCTTCTTTGCTGTGATTATGCCATCTGCTTTGGACTTGGGTTTCTAGAAGGAGGCAAAGTGATAGGAATCCTAGATGTGCCATAATGCTTGATTTTTCCATCACTGAATTCCTCTAAACTAGCCAGACAACAGAATGCCCAAGTTAATTTTAACTTGGGTTTGAAACATAATTTGCTTTTTTGTCTAGTCTTATGATGTTTGACACATGATTTCAATTCTCTAAATTCAGTTTCTTTTCTCAGGTTCTATACAGAAGCAGAGCCTGAGGCAAGGGTTCTTTTTATAGTGATTTTTTAAATCACTCTCAGAAGGAATATTGCAGAAAGTATGAAGGACAGGGAAAGTATTGAAACAAGACTGGGGTCATATCTAGAGACTAGTTTCCACCTGATTTCATGGTAGGGCCATGCCACTAACACTCTGGCTTTAGATCTATAATGGAGTATGGGAGTTTACCTTTTATACACCTATTTAGTAATTAATTTGTTGACTATTAACTGTATCTTTCTGAAGAACTTTACCATCTACCATATTTCATTTTAGTATCTATGAATTTTGTGTAATTAGATTATCTCAGTGGTTTGAGATACCTGTATTTGAGCTTTCTCAGTGATAAAACCTTCAGCTACAATAAGAAAAAAATCCTAACTCAAATATTACCAACAATAAAGAGAGTTATTTTTCATTACAAGCACGTAGAGGCAGGGAATGTACAAGAACAGACAGAGATTAATTCAGTCCTCCATGGGTTGTATGGTTCTAGGACTGGCTGTCCTCAGGGTCATCAGATGATGGCACCAGATGGAGATGTCATACTTGGACATGATTCCCAGAGACAGAACTCTGACTGTCCTTCCTTGAATCAGATGATTATAGAATTTTCCACAGAGTCAATTACAAGAGTCAACTGGAACCCCAGCTGTAATAGGTTGTATGGTCCTCAAAAAAAGTTGTCCAGATCCTAGTCCCGTAACTTATGAATATTTTTTTTTAAATTTTATTTATTTATTTGAGAGAGAGAGAATGAGAGATAGAAAGCACGAGAGGGAAGAGGGTCAGAGGGAGAAGCAGACTCCCCACTGAGCGGGGAGCCCGATGCGGGACTCGATCCCGGGACTCCAGGATCATGACCTGAGCCGAAGGCAGTCGCTTAACCAACTGAGCCACCCAGGCGCCCTTATGAATATTTTTTGATTGAAGGGTAAATTGTACTTACTTGGAGTCTTTGTAGAAGATGAGCTTATCCCCCTATTATCTGGGTAGGTTCTAAATGTAATCACATGTATCCTTATAAGATAGACAGAAGTGGAAATGATCCAGAGAAAAATGAGGAGGTAATGTAACCATGGTGACAGAAATTGGATGTATGCAGCCAGTATTTAATTTTCAGTATTTGGTCATTTTTTCCAGCTTTATTAAGATATAATTGTATATAACATTCTGTAAGATTAAGGTGTACAATGTGCTGATTTAATGTATTTATATATTGCAAAATGATTAGCACCACTGCATGGATAAAACCTCCATCCCATCACTTAATTACCATTTCTTCTGTGGTGAGAATATTTAAGATTCTACACTCTTATCAATATTTAAGTATAGTACTATTAACTATAGTACTATATATATATAGTACTATGAACTATAATTACCATGATCTATATTAGATCCCCAGAATTTGTTAATCTTATAACTGGAAATTTATACCCATTGACCAAAATCTTTCCCTTTTCCCCACTGCCCAGCCCCTGGTAGCCACCATTCTAGTCTCTGTTTCTGTGAGTTTAACTTCTTCAGATTTTCCACATGTAAATGACATCATACAGTATTTGTCTTTCTCTGTTTGACTTATTTTACTTAGCATAATGCCCTCAAGATGCATCCAAGGTGTCACAAAAGGCAGGATTTCCTACTTTTTCAAGGCTGAATAATATTTTGTTATATATATACAACATCTTTAACCATTCATCTGTTGACACTTAGGTTGTTTTCATAACTTGGCTATTGTGAATAGTGCTGCAATGGACATGGGAGTGCATATATCTCTATAAGATCCTGATTTTAATTCCTTTGGATATGTATCAAGAAGTGAAATTGCTAGATCATATGGTAGCTCTATTTTTAATTTTTTAAGGAACCTATATACCGTTTTCCACAGGAGTTGTAACAATTTACATCCACACCAACAGTGCACAAGTGTTCCCTTTTCTCCACACCTTTGCTAACACATTATCTTTTCTCTTTTTGATGTGACCCATTCTAATGGGTGTGAGGTGATATTCTGGTTTTCATTTGCATTTCCCTGATGATAAGTGATGTCAAGAAACTGTTTCATGTGCCTGTTAGCCATCCATATGTCTTCTCTTGAAAAATGTCTCTTCAGTTTGTCTATTTACTCTTTAATTGGGTTGTTTAGTTTTTTGCTATGGAGTTGTATGAGTTCTTTATATGTTTGGGATATTAACCCCTTATCAGACATATGATTTGCAAATATTTTCTCCCATTCAGTAGGTTGCCTTTTCATTTTGTTGATGGTTTACTTCTCTATGTAAAGCTTTTAATTTGATGTAGTCCCATTTGTTGATTTGGGCCTTTGTTTGTGTTTTGGTATCATATCCAAAAACCTGTTGCCAAGACCAGGGTCAAAGAGTTTTTCCCTAAGTTTTCTTCTAAGAGTTTTACGGTTTCATGTCTTTTGTCTAAGTCTTTAGTCCATTTTGAGTTAATTTTCATAAGTGGTGGAAGATAGGGATGCAGTTGCATTTCACTGCATGTGTTTATCCATTTTTCCTGACACCATTTATTGAAGAGACTGCCCTTACCCATTGAGTATGGAGGACTTTTGTCAAATATTAGCTGACCACATACACTGAGGTTTATTTTTGGGATCTTGATTATGTTTCATTGGTCCCTGTGTCTATTTTTATGCCAGAACCATACTGTTTTGATTACTTTAGCTTTGCATTATACTCAGAAATAAGGAAGTGTGATGCCTCCAACTTCGTTCTTACCCAGGACTGCTTTGGCTCTATGGGTTCTCTTGGGACTCTATATAAATTTGAGGATTGTTTTTTTCTACATTCTGAATATCACAAACCCAGTCTCCAAGCCAACAGGTAACTTGGATTGAGATATTGGGGCTTTTCTGAAACCTTCAGTTGTTCAATTGTTCCATATTTATGGTTGGGTCCAGGCAGTGTCCACAACTTTTGTGTTCACCCATATTGCTCAAATACTGAAGCTCCATTTTTGTCTTTGACTTCAAGCACTAATCTCTTTTAGGACGTTTAGCTTCCAGGATGTTCATTACCTGGAGAGAGTAACTTCTTCCTTATGGAGGTGACTCCATAGAGCCTCTAGGCTTCAGTGCCCTCACCCTTTATGTGTGAGTTATTTTTGTAGCACATGGAAAGATTTGTCTTGTTTTAAGAGACCAGCTATGAATTTTTATACATACCTATTATTTAATGTGTTGAGATGAAAGGATGACATTCAAATGCCATCTTGTCTCATGTTGGTTTCAAATACTATCACAAGAACTCCACTAATTAAAAAATGAAGTCATAGGAGTGCCTGGGTGACTCTGTTGGTTAAGTGTCTCCCTTTAGCTTTGGTCATGACCCCAGGTCCTGGGACGTAGGCTCACAGGGACTAGAAACCTGTTTCTCCCTCTCCTCTGCCCCCTGCCCCACTTGTGCCCTCTCTCTCTCAAGTAAATAAATAAAATCTTTTTAAAAAGTGAAGCTATACAGAAAGAGTTAACATGTGGCAAAAATAAATTGATAAGTATGTGAATATATTAAATAATGAAAATTTGTAATTAAGTATTAACATGGAGCACCATCTTTCCCTATTAAATTATGGCTGAAACCTCACTCATTCTGAGAGTATGGATGGACCAGCATACTCTTGCTTTGTCTATGGCATTGTAATTTCTCATAAATCTATTTTTTAAAAAGTGTCATAATTTCAACCCATGACCCACTAATGTGAAGAAAAATGTACACTGAACCCATTGTAATGAAATTGGAAATGATGTTTATGAAATTCTGAAGTCTTGTCTATATTGATCACAGTCAGAATTGTTTAGAGATTATAGATTAAAATCGGCAGTATGAACTATACAGAATGAAAATTAATGTTCAGGAAACACCAATGATTCTCAGAAAAAAAACCATCACCGATTGTTTGCATTTTTACATACCTTAGCTGTATTTATAAATATATATTTTATACCCATGTATATAAACTGTTTTCACACTTAAAATTAGAATATGGTTTTCTGATATCACTAATTAGATTGAGATGCCATTGCTTGTATCTAAAACCTGAAGACAGGAATCCAATTAGAGAAGGATGATGTGTCCACACATGCAAGGTACGTGAAATGGAGGTGAGCATGAGCAGGTGGAAAGAACTGTGTGGTATGCATGTGGCCTCACAGGATCAGGGATCAGGTATCCTGAGTTGCTCTCTTCTGTAGTTTTGGCTTTTAAAGATTTACACTGTCCTGGGATCCAAATAAAAGTGTTTGTCTAATGAGGAGCTTTGGATATTGAACCCTCAGGGAAACAGAAACTGCAAATAGTCTGTCTATGTCCACCTGACTTAACGGCCCTGCCCAGTCAGGAAGCAACACCTGGGCCACCTCCCAGTGATGATCCTCCTTGCCTAGAAACGTGAGGCTTCACTCAGTCCCTCTGCCCTTCTCAGAGACAGACCTTCTGTCTCCATCATTCAATATCCGAGGAAGATATCTAGTATCATCCTGCAATGATGCCAGCCAGGTAACAGAAAGTCCCTTAGACAATGCTTTGGACATGAGGGAAGGTGTCTACTGGAGTTCCTTCCCTGCAGAGCCGTGACACAAGTCCATGCTTAAGATGATCAGTACTAAGTCCCCAGTGGGACTCCTGCCTGAATGTCTTGACATGTTACTTTATACCTCCACTCCAATGCTGATGCAGCTCTTATTTTGCTAGTTTTCTATTCTGTCTATTTAATGGCAGGAACCATTTTGCTCTTGAATCCTCCCCTTCACAAACAGGATGACTATTATAAAGTTCTCTGACATTTACTTACATCTTTTCATGATGGAAGGGAGAGATATTAGTTAGTTTCATTTTAACCCCCTGTACATTGTACAGAAGAGCCTTTGGTGTTATCTTTATAGCCTGGCTGTGAGGACTTAGAAGAAGGAAATGTAGACCCAGACAGACAGAGCAGGCTACCTTCTTCATCTACTTGTTCCTCTTTATAAAACTACCATGTGTTTTCAATTATAAGAATGGTATAGATATCGTAATGATAAATTTAATATGGTACCATTAACCCCTTTCCGGAACTAACAAATGTTGGCATTCTCTTGTATCGTCTCATGCCTATTTTATTTATTTATTTATTTTAATTTGTTGATAAGTTTATTATTCACTGTGATGGCATAATTTATTTTGTTTTATTTTTACACATAGGTGTATTCAATTATTTACATGCAGTTTTTTGCATATTTTCACCCTATTATCATTAACATTTTTCTCCATTCTGTTTTAATTTTTTTTTTATGTTAGTCACCATACAATACATCATTAGTTTTCGATGTGGTGATCCACAATCCATTGTTTTCGTATAACACCCAGTGCTCCATGCAATACGTGCCCTCCTTAGCAACCATCACTGGGTTAGCTCATCCCCCACCCCCCAACCCTCTAAAACCCTGTTTGTTTCTCAGAGTCCATAGTCTCTCATGGTTCATCTCTCCCTCCGATTACCCGCCCCCTTCATTTTTCCCTTCCTTCTCCTAATGTCCTCTATGCTATTCCTTACGTTCCACAAATAAGTGAAACCATATGATAATTGACTTTCTCTGCTTGACTTAATTTCACTTAGCATAATCTCCTCCAGTCCCATCCATATTGATGCAAAAGTTGGGTATTTACCCTTTCTGATGGCTGAGTATTATATACAATTCCATTGTATATATGGACCACATCTTCTTTATCCATTCTTCTGTTGAAGTTTGGCTTTCCACAGTTTGGCTATTGCAGACATTGCTGCTATGAACATTGGGGTGCATATGGCCCTTCTTTTCACTACATCTGTGTCTTTGGGGTAAATACCCAGAAGTGCAATTGCTGGGTCATAGGGTAACTCTATTTTTAAGTTTTTGAGGCACCTCCACACTGTTTTCCAAAGTGGCTGTACCAACTTGCATTCCCACCAACAGTGTAAGAGGGTTCCCCTTTCTCCACAACCTCTCCAACATTTGTTGTTTCTTTCCCTGCCCATTTTTGCCATTCTAACTGGTGTAAGGTCGTATCTCAACTGGTTTTGATTTGAATTTCCCTGATGGCTATTGATGATGAACATTTTTTCACGTGTCTGTTAGCCATTTGTATGTCTTCTTCAGAGAAGTGTCTGTTCATATCTTCTGCCCATTTTTTGACTTGATTATTTCTTTTTTGGGTGTTGAGTTTGAGAAGTTCTTTATAGATCTTGGATACCAGCCCTTTATCTGTAGTGTGATTTGCAAAAATCTTCTCCCATTCCATGGGTTGCCTCTTCGTTTTGTTGACTGTTTCCTTTGCTGTGCAGAAGCTTTTTATCTTGATGAAGTCCCAAGAGTTCATTTTTGCTTTTGTTTCACTAGCTTTTGGAGATGTATCTTGAAAGATGTCAAAGAGGTTACTGCCTATGTTCTCCTCTAGGATTTTGATGGATTCCTGTCTCACATTGAGGTCTTACATCCATTTTGAATTTATCTTTGTTAATCTCTGAGTTTATCTCAGTTAGAGAATGGTTGAGTTTCATTCTTCTGCATGTGGCTGTCCAATTTTCCCAGCACCATTTATTGAAGAGACTGTCTTTTTTCCATTGCATATTTTTTCCTGCTTTGTCGAAGATTATTTGACCATAGAGTTGAAGGTTCATATCTGAGCTCTCTATTCTGTTCCATTGGTCTATATGTCTGTTTTTGTGCCAGTACCATGGTGTGTTGGTGATCACAGCTTTGGAATATAGCTTGAGATCGGGCAACGTGATGCCCCCAGCTTTGTTTTTCCTTTTCAACATTTCCTTGGTGATTCAGGGTCTTTTCTGATTCCATACAAATTTTAGGATTGTTTGTTCCAGCACTTTTAAAAATGTCATTGGAATTTTGATCAGGATGGCATTGAAGGTATAGATTGCTCTGGGTAGCATAGACATTTTAACAACGTTTATTCTTCCGATCCATGAGCATGGAATATTTTTCCATCTTTTTGTGTCTTCTTCAATTTTTTTTCATGAGTGTTCTGTAGTTCGTAGAGTATAGATCCTTCACCTCTTTGGTTAGGTTTATTACAAGGTATCTTATGGTTTTTGGTGCTATTGTAAATGGAATCGTTTCTCTAATTTCTCTTTCTACAGTTGCATTGTTAGTGTATAAGAAAGCAACTGATTTTTGTGCATTGATTTTGTATCCTGCCACATTACTGAATTGCTGTATGAATTCTAGTAACTTAGGGGTGGAGTCTTTTGAGTTTTCCACATGAAGTATCATGTCATCTGTGAAAAGAGAGAGTTTGACTTCTTCTTTGCCAATTTGAATACCTTTTACTTCTTTTTATTGTCTGATTCCTTTTTTTTAAAGATTTTATTTATTTATTTGACAGAGAGAGAGACAGCAAGAGAGGGAACACAAGCACAGAGAGTGGGAGAAGGAGAAGCAGTTTTCCCGCTGAGCAGGGAGTCTGATGTGGGGCTCAATCCCAGGACTGTGGGATCATGACCTGAGCCAAAGGCAGATGCTTAATGACTGAGCCACCCAGGTGCCCCTTGTGCCCATTTTTTTAATTAACAAAATAATATAAATACAGAAGGTACTCTTTTTGTATTCCTCTTAGTTCCCCTTACAGAAGCAACACCAATGTAAAGGTATCCCCCAAGCATGTTTTCATACTGTGTGTGTATATGTGTATATATTTATGGTATTTTATATGAACAATTTTATCTCTTGTTGGTTTTCATTGTTTGTATTGATTCATAGATCTATTTTATTCTAATATTTAGTTTATTTTAATTGCTTTATGTCCATGCCAAATAAATATTGATATATTGATATTCCTTTCCTTTCCTTTGTATATGACCAAGATTGCTAGAGGGAGTTTTCAGCACAGAAACCCACCCCTGAAATTTGCAATTATCACACTAAGAATGTTCTCTTACTTTCCTCTTTCCTCAACTCGCCGCAACCCACCAGTTCCACCCTAGTTCCACCCTAGGAGTGACATATGCCTGATGCTGTTGTTCATGGCAGAAAAAAAAAATCACAATAAGAAATGTCACTATGAGGGTCTTCATTTTTCCTCATTGCAACAACTCCATAAAGTATTCTAGTTCCCAATATATACACAAGAACATCGGGATTCTAATACAGTTAAAAACTTTTCCCTATTCACAAAGCAAGTACTGGAGCCTGGATGAAATTCAGAACGCCCAAGTATTATACCAAGTGATTGATCCTCTTGGGCCACTTGTGTCCCTCAGGAAAGAGACAACCACTGTTGCACAGAGACATGCCCCTTAGGATGCTTGGTACTAACGTCATCTTATGAGTTTCTGTCTCCCGAAGACAAATTGTTATTATTTTTATTCTTTTCAGGATCCTTTCCATTTCATCCTTTCCCCCATTCAGCTGGGGATTTTTGTTGTTGTTTGTGATCAGATGTCATCTATTGCATTAGGGGAAGAACATCCCTAAAGATCAGACCGATTCTGTAATTTTATTTTTTTAAGATTTTATTTATTTGACAAAGAGAGAGAGAGAGAGAGAGAGAGAGAGAGAGTGTGTGTGTGTGTGTGTGTGTGTGTGTGTGTGTGTGCACAAGCAGGGGAGTGGCAGGCAGAGGCAGAGGGAGAAGCAGGCTCCCTGCCAAACAAAGAGCCAGACACAGGGCCCGGGATCAAGACCTGAGCCGAAGGCAGATGCTTAACCAACTGAGTCACCCAGGTGCCCCTGTAATTTTATTCTTATATTTTTGATTGTTAGAAGGTGTGGAATAATTGTAAAGGAATAAATCCATGTCTTCTTTTTTCATTCTCAAACTTGATACATGTTAGACACTCATTAGAATTTTGGCTGATGGGGTACCTGGGCGGCTCCGTCAGTTAAGCATCTGCCTTCAGCTCAATTCATGATCTCAGGGTCCTGGGATCGAGCGCCATGTGGGGCTCCCTGCTCAGCAGAGAGTCTGCTTCTCCCTCTCCCTCAGCCCTTCCCCCTGCTCATGCTCTGTCTCTCTCTCTCTCAAATAAATAAAATCTTAAAAAAAGAATTTTGGCTGATAAACTGAGTGGAGGGAAGAGGATGAGGGAGAGAAGAAGGATGGAGGGAGAGATACACAGAGGAACAATTTGAATATTCACTTGGGTTCACAATATAGGTAGACATTTTTTGAGAACAGCAGTTCTGAGACTTTATCATATGTCAGAATCATCTGAAAAGCTTGTTAAAACAGACTGCTTGTCATCATCCTTAGAGCTCTTCGTAAGTAAGTCTGGAGTGGGATCCAAATTTGGCATTTCTAACACGTTGCCTGGTACTGCTGCTGCAGGTCCAGTGACCATACATTTTATTCTCTTGTCACCCAATATTTTATATTAACAACATGGAAACCAGAAACCAAACAGATGTATAAGAATTTCTTCTTCTGGGATTGACTGAAGATCCAGAACTGCAGCCCCTACTCTTCTGCCTGTTCCTGTTCATGTACCTGGTCACCAACCTGGGAAATTTGCTCATCATCCTGGATGCCATTTCTGACTCCCACCCCCACACCCCCATGTACTTCTTCCTCTCCAACCTGTCCTTTACTGACATCTGTTTAAGCACAACCACCATCCCAGAGATGCTGGTGAATATCCAAGCACAGAGTCAGCATCTCAGTTACACAGGCTGCATCACCCAGGTCTGTTTTGTCTTGATTTTTCTTGGTTTTGAAAATTTTCTCCTTGCAGTAATGGCCTATGACCACTATGTTGCCATTTGTCATCCACAGAGGTACACAGTCATCATGAACCCCCAACTCTGTGGACTGTTAATTCTACTCTCTTTGTACATTAGCATCATGGATGCCCTCCTCCGCAGTCTAATGGTGTTGCAACTGTCCTTCTGCATTGACTTGGAAATATCACACTTTTTCTGTGAACTTGCACGGGTCATCAAGCTTGCCTGTTCTGATTCCTTCATCAATACCATCTTGGTTAATTTTATGGCTGTATGTTGAGTGGTATTTCTATCTTTGGGATCATTTTCTCTTATACTAAAATTCTCTATCCTCTTTTGAGAATGCCATCAGCTGGCAGAAAATATAAAGCCTTTTCCACCTGTGGGTCTCATCTCTTAGCTGTTTCCTTGTTCTATGGGACAGGATTAGGGGTATACATTAGTTCTGCAGTTACTGACTCTTCCAGAAAGACTTCAGTGGCTTCGGTGATGTACACTGTGGTTCCTCAATTGATGAACCCCTTTATCTACAGTCTGTGGAACAGGGATATGAAGGAAGCCTTGAGAAAAATAATCAGGTAGGATAACTTTTCATCATATTTGGGCCAGTTTTCTAGAATGAGTCAAAGTAAAAGATATTCTGGTGTTTCAGAATACTCTTCTATCACCAAGATCATTTAAAATGACTAGGTAACATGATGGCTACATACATTTCAACATGGGCTTGATTTCTGATTTTGCCCTTTGTCTAACTCTGTGATGTTTGACAGTGATTTCAAGTGTCTAAACTCAGTTTTTTGGGTTGTGTTCTATAGAGGGAGAACCTGAATCCTGGGATCCTGTTATAGTGATTTTGGCAGATGGCATGTTCAGAATAAAGTGGGAGAAGTTAGATAAGGGGCAGGGAAATGGTGTAAGCAGGGTCATGGCTACAGGTAGAGACTAGCTTCCACTTTATCCCATATCTAGGACCATGTGAATCTCACCCCAGACAGGCATATACTATGAGGCAAGGGAGCTGACCTTTCTTAACCACACTCAATAATCACTGAGAGTTGTCTCTATAAAACTGTATCTCTCTGGAGCAACATCAGAATCCATCAAACTCAGTTTCATCATCTATGGCATCAGTGTAATCTGATTATCTCAGTGGTTTGAGACAGTTCTAAAATATATAAACCTGAAGCTGAAGGTCTTTGGTTCTAATAATAAAAATAAAACTATTTGGGGTGCTTGGTGGCTCAGTTGGTTGAGCATCTGACTCTTTTTTTTTAATTTTTTATTGTTATGTTAATCACCATATATTACATCATTAGTTTTTGATGCAGTGTTCCATGATTCATTGTTTGTTCATAACACCCAGTGCTCCATGCAGAACGTACCCTCCTCAATACCCATCACCAGGCTAACCCATCCCCCTACCCTCCTCCCCTCTAGAACCCTCAGTTTGTTTTTCAGAGTCCATCATCTCTCATGGTTCTTCTCCCCCTCTGACTTACTCCCCTTCATCCTTCCTTTCCTGTTATCTTCTTCTTTTTCTTTTTTCTTAAAATATGTTGCGTTATTTGTTTCAGAAGTACAGATCGGTGATTCAACAGTCTTGCACAATTCACAGCGCTCACCGTAGCACATACCCTCCCCAATGTCTATCACCCAGCCACCCCAGCCCTCCCACCCCCGACCACTCCAGTAACACTCAGTTTGTTTCCTGAGATTAAGAATTGCTCATATCAGTGAGGTCATATGATACATGTCTTTCTCTGATTGACTTATTTCACTAAGCATAACACCCTCTAGTTCCATCCACATCGTTGCAAATGGCAAGATCTCATTCCTTTTGATGGCTGCATAATATTCCATTGTGTACATATACCACAGCTTCTTTATCCATTCATCTGTCAATGGACATCTTGGCTCTTTCCACAGTTTGGCTATTGTGGACATTGCTGCTATAAACATTGGGGTGCACGTACCCCTTCGGGTCCCTACATTTGTATCTTTGGGGTAAACACCCAGTAGGAGCATCTGACTCTTGATCTCATTTCAGGTCTTGATCTCAGGGTCATGAGTTCAAGCCCTGTGTTGGGCTCCACACTGGACGTGGAACCTACTTTAAAAAAAAAGAAGAAAAGAAAACTTTTCTCTAATATTCTCAAACAAGAAAGGGAGCTATCTTTCATTCAGAGATAAGGAATGTACAAGGATGAGAGAATAAGGATTCATTTAGTCCTCCATGAGGTGGCGTCATTCTAGGACTGGTGGTAGCAGCAGACAGAGGTGTCATACTCAGTTGTGATGTCCAGGGACAGAAAACTGTCTTTCCTTGGGCCATTTGAAAATTGACCTTTCCATGGCATCATCCAGAAGATATCCCCTTAAATCTCACCACTAAGAAGAGGATCATATGCTCCTTCTTAATCTAATTACTGGTGGGGAGAAATGATTAATATGAAAGACTTAGACTGACCATCTAGGGTTAATTCTTGCTGGACAGCCATCTGTCATAACCATGACAAACACTTAATACAATATCTGACATATTGTGGGACTCAATAACATTTAACTTATATCATAATTTTTCATATCTTGCCTATATTCATAACTTTTATAATCCTTTTGAACTCACATATTTTTACCACCTGCTTCAACATTTATATTTGTTTATCTTTACTGTAGTATTTTCTGGTCTGAGTAATATAATCAAATAATTATTGAGTAGGCAGGGTAATGGATGTTCATCTTTTTTCTGACACCCTATTTGCTTTGATTCCTTCTCATTGATTTATTGGTAAGAATGTATCTGGAAAAAAAAACAATGTATCTGAGTTTTCATTTATTTTAATTACCTCTCCTTGCAGTATTTCTTACTCCTCTCAGGTGGAGTCCACACAGAGAAATATGGTTAAGTAAAATTGATGGAGTGACTAAAGTCTTAAAGAGTTGGCTGCATAATTAGGGCTCTTATGCAAAACTTTATAATGTGTTATTGTGAATAAAACAGTGTTTCTGTGGAGGAGTGTAAAATAAGGAGAAAAAAGAAGTTGGTAGTGTTAGGGACCATCATTTTTTCACAAGTACAAAAATGTGGGGCCATCAGACAGAAGTACTTTTCTTTTTTTTTTTTTTTTAAGATTTTATTTATCTGAGAGAGAGAGAAAGCAAGAGCATGAGTGGCCAGAGGGACAGAGGGAGAGGGAAAAGCAGACTCCCAGTGGGAGCAGGGAGCCCAAGGCAGGGCTCCATCCCAGGGCTTTGGGATCATGACATGAGCTGAAGGCAGATGCTTAACCAACTGAGCCACCCAGGCACCCCCAGAAGTATCTTTCTGGATGTGTGTATAGGGGAGAATGACAGAGGTCTCCCAGGATAACCAAAGGAGTACCACTCATTATGAGGAGAGGAAGTATTATGTCAGTAGCATAACTGGGGGACAGCTCCCTGCTTGCTGCCCTGGTGTGTTCTAGTGCAGAACTTCCTCCACTGACACCCACAGAACACCCGCAGAGACCTGAGGCCCTTGTTCACACTGCAGATTTCTGATCTGCTGACTTTGAGAACTACTGACTTTGAGTCACTGGGGAGACAGTGAAAGGATGAGTTTATATATAAGTACTTTGTAAGTTTCTTATACACTTCAAAGTCTGAGAAACATGACATAAATATTAAAAGAATGTAGGAGGAGGAGTTAAGATCACAGAGGAATAGGGGGACCCTAAGCTTACCTCTTCTCTCAAATACAGCTAGATAGTTATCAAATCATTCTGAACACCCAAGAAATCATCTGAGGTCTGAGAAAACAAAACTGCAAGTCTACAAGTAGAAAAGCAACCACCTTTTGGAAGGTAGGAAGCGTGAAGGTTTGATTTGGGTGGGGGAAATATAACTGTGGGTACTGCAGTGGGGAGGGAGCCCTGCTTACAGAAAATATTATAAGCAGTGGAGCACAAAGTCTGAAATTTTAGAAGGCCACCACCACCAGGGTTGTGCCTGGCTTAAAGGTGCTCAGGTGGGGAAGGAGTGTGGAGGGCCAGGCATGGACAGCATGGTCAGAGGATCCACTGGGTCACAAGAAGAATGGGTGGCACCCACATGCTGCACTGTTCCCAGGCATAGGAGCAGGGACTCCAGCTGAGGGCAGCAAGCCTGGGTGCCAGCTCTCTGCTCTGCCTTGCCATAAACTCAACTGCTGTACAGTTGTGCAACCGCTTGCCTGGTATGGGCTGGCAAACAGCAAAAAGGTGGCAAGACCCTCCCTCAGAGGATCAGCATGGGTCCTTGCCACGAGAGTCCCTAAAATTTGGAGTTTTAAAACTCAGCCATGCACCTGAGTTAAAACAGCTGGGATACAGGCAGGGGGAAGGCAGGCATCTGACAGAAGCTGGGGACACAGGAGTGATTGGCTTTTCTGTGAGGGCTTCCTGAAGAGTGGGGGGCATGAACTCTCAGCTCTGGGGCTAGAGAGAAGGACACAGCCATTTTCATTCAGCACATCAGTGCTGAAAGCCTTCAGGGAGCAAAATTGTGCCACCTAGTGCAGCCCAGGGCCACTTACACCAAGCCCCACCCCCCTGAGCCCTGAAGGTCCTTCTCCACTAGGGCAAGTCCACCTGAGAATCAGAGCAGCAGGCCCCTCCCCGGAACACCAGCACAAACACCTCACATGCACCAAGTCTACTGATCACAGATGCTGCAAAGCTCCAGCTCTACAGAAAATAGGATCTACCTTCCTTTTTACTTTTATTTTTAATTTTTTATTACTATTTTCTGTCCCTCTCTCTCTTTCTCTTTCCTTTTCTTCTGGGATCCCAGTTATTCTAATATTGTTTCTCTTTATGGGATCACTTATCTTTCAAATTCTCCCCCTCATGATCCCATAGTTATCTCTTTTTCTAAGCTTCTTTATTCTCCTTCATTTTGTCTTCTATATCACTAATTCTCTCTTCTGCCTCATTTATCCTAGCAGTTAGAGACTCCATTTTTTTCTTGCATCTCATTAATAGCCTTTTTAAATTTTGATTTGATTAGATTTTAGTTCTCTTATTTCTCTGGAAAGAGATTCTCTAGTGTCTTTTATTCTTTTTTCCAAGCCCAGTTAGTATCTTTGTAACTGTTATTCTGAACTCTAGTTTCAACATCTTGCTAATGCCCATACTGATTAAGTCCCTGCCAGTCAGTACCGCCTCTTTTTCTCTTTTTTGAGGTGAATTTTTCCATCTTGTCATTCTGTCCAGAGAATAGATGAATGAGAGAACAAAATACTAAAATGGCAACAACGACCCTAGAGAAATATACACTAAACAAATCAGAAGAGACCTTAAACAAACAAAAAAAAAAAAAAAAAAAAAAAAAAAAAAAAAAAAAGAGAAAGAATATAATCAGACAGGTGGACAGAATAGAACAATATACTAGACCCTGTGTGTATTTTGGTCTGTTTGTTAGAAAACTAGATCCCAAAATTGTAAAGAAAGAAAAACATATATGTACAAAAACAAATACAATGAAAGGATAGAATGTAACTGTAAAAATGAAAATTAAAAGACAAGAAAAAACAAAAGAGAAAAAAACAACAAGAGAAAAAAGGA